TTTTTACTATTTTAAAAACATTGTTTCAGGGAAAGAAGCTGTAACATTTTTTACATCAAATTTGATTTGCTATCTTAATCATGGTAGATTTATTAATGTTTTAGCTTTATTTAATATAACAATGTTAAATAATTTTTGGTTATAGAAAAAATATATGAAAATTTTTAAGGTATTTAACCTTTGCACATTACTCATTTTAAGAAATGTAGAAAAATTACTAGTACAGTAGACTTCTGCAAATTTGACTTAATGTGGACTGAGAAAGTGATTAGTTATTGAAAACGACAAGTTTTATATGGCGTATCAATTATGCTACTCTAAGTGACTGAATTTTTGTAAAGATATTATATATTCAAATTTGTATACATATTAACTACATACCAATAGCGACTATTTCTATTTGTAGTTAAATTTTAATTTAAAAAATATTAACTATTCAGTGGCTACTTTAGAGTTAGTGACATTTTCATCATGGCATTTTGAAGTGGCATCTTGGTAAAAGGGTTATGTATGCTTTTTGTTAGCACATGGAATTGATGCTATTATCAAAAGTGTTGCCATTGAAGAATGATAACTTATTTTACTTAGTGTTAAATTAGAGGTAAAAATTAGGTTACATGTATTTTTTTTTTATTTTGAATGACACAAACTTTATGGAATGTCAAGTTATTGAGTTGAATTTCCAGGACTCTGCTATATATGTCAGTGTTTGATATTAAAATAATTTTATATAAATAATTTATAACTGCATCAACTTACTTCTTAACTTAAAACTTAGCTAATATTTATTAGGATGATGATAATGAACTTTAATATGTAAATTTTTTATATTTAGCATATCATGTAAATGAAGGAATACCAAGAATACCAGACCAAAATGCTCAAAGTGATGCTGGTAGTACTTGCTTTTTTTCTCCTACAGGTAAATGAAACTTTCTAAAAGTAAATTTTAAAAACTTATTGTTTTTTTTATATTTATAAATTACTGTATAATAATAATGTATGATAATCACAAACCCTTACTATTATATAAGACTAGGTCGTAAATACAAATACAGAATATACATTTTAAAAGGCATGATACTTCTAGGTGACACTTCATATACTAAAGTATACAATACATCAGGTTGCAAGCTTCTACCACAGACTACTTACATCAACATAGCCAAATAGCAACTATAATAAATTAAAAGCTTGCATACCCAAGAATTGTTCTAGAAACACTTCTTAGTCAATCATAAAAATAACACACACAAAATATACTGAATCATAATCTAATGAAACAGTCAGTCACAATACACTACACTTCATATTCATCGACAAACAAAACAAAATCACATACTGTAAACATAGATATAACTATTTCAAACACCCACAATGTACAAAATGCATACACTGAAAAATTTATAAATACTCAAAACTTTCTATGAAATAAAGTGCCTATGGAAAATGGATATAAGGTATTTATTGTGCTTGTGGTTTTTTTCTTGCACAGGTATCATACCACATACACTACATATCTATACAAGTCTAGAAATATTAGGATTCACTTGAGCACATATTACAGAAAGCATCCATACTGAACACTTCACATAGTCAGGAAAGTTATAAACACAGATACATACACAATAGTACAAAAACAAAACAGCTTTTTCTGTAGTTATTCCAGCTTTGGTCTAGTGTAACACTAAGCATTGGTTATAAACTGAATGGGATATAATCAATAAATACCATAATACTAAATACAGGTATCCCTTGTACAACATGACATTTCTACAACGTGGTTTTGCTCTAACACTGTTTGAAAATTGGGGAAATCTTCCTGTACAACATGATTTGAGAATTTGGGAAATCCTCTGTACAAAATTTCACAATTTTTAAATGCAAATTTTATCATTCAATATTTTTCTAATTCAAGTAAGCATGCATGTTATCTCAAATTTGCCCATGGATTTTAGAATATTGAAATTTTTAATTTATTTTGTGCCTGTATCAGGTTTACTTTAATGAAAACTGATAGCACAATTTTTTCTTTCTTGGCCTAGCTTTTCTGTCAACCAAATGTCATCATTACTTTAAGACTATCATTGTGTTTTGTTTTTATAGATTAATCTTCATATTTACTAAAATTTATTTAAACAGTTTTAGGTAAGTATTATTATTAAACTTTTAACCATAGGTAAGTAATCATTGGTAAAAATGATGAACAAAATACAACGGTATCTTGGTATTCAAACTGTTCCTACCTTGAACAATTCAGTATTTGAACACACATTCTGGAAAAAAAATCACTCAGTACTTGAATGAACAAATGCAATTATTCGTCTCCACACTGCAACTTGTGAACAAATTTTCATTTAATTAATAACATATTTTTATTTTGTCATACAGACAATTTTTATAATAAAAATAAAAATGATGATATTTCTGATCGAAATCAACAAAAAAGCTCATAAGATGACAATACTTTGAAAACACCCTTGTTTAACTAATTAATATTAATGCATAATACAGTACTTTTAATTGCAATTTAGTTAATTATTGATTGCTTTAATAAACATATTTCTTAATTATTTGAAGACAGTACTTTTTTGGGAAGGACTATGTCTTCAAATAATTAATCATAATTATTGCCATCGGACAAAAATCTACAAACATATTTCTCTTACTAACAAAAAAGAATAGTATACTTTTGTTAACTTTTGGAGCCTAACTCTATGTTTTGAACTAGTCTTTTGTTTTGTTCAGCATGGATTCACATAATATAGCATTTTTTCAGAACTAGTGTTGTATGAAGGATACCTGTACATTATATCAAAATTTAGTATTGATTAAATTAATTTTATTTAAATTACTGTTTTGGCCCAAATATTGGTCAATGTTTTTTCCAAGTTTTAAAGAGGAAAAAATCGATATTATCTGTATTCATTCCTTGACTTATATTCAAGTCTGATTAAATTTTCCTTGATTTCAATAACTGTGCAGTGCATTGTTTTTAAAGTTCAGTGTGTCTGTTATTTAGCAATGCTAAACATCAACCACTGTGACTTGTCAAATTCTAGCCTGCAAATACTTAGTTTCTGTACAGGAATTAAGTTTTACACAATAGTAATAATTGATTAGTAAGTGTTTGGCAGGATCATAAATAATTGGCTGAACTAAACCAATTTTTTTTATTGTATTTAACAGAATCAGTCAGTTATTAACTTGTACAGAAATAGTGTCCAATGCATTTATTTCTTTCTATAAAACAAACCCTTTACTATAATTTTCTGGTTGACTAGGTATGATTTAAATACAATTTTTAAAAATTACTAAGAAAGCAATCAAAACTTCATTTATGCTGATTGATATCCAGATATTTGTAAATACAGTCAAACCTGTCTATAATGAAATCTGTGGAATCAAGCAGTTTTTCTGCAGTAGACAGATTTATGCTATATACAGGTTACCTACTATAGGTATCCCTTGATTAATGTGATTAATTAATCCCTCATTGCTATTCTATACATCAAAATTGTATTAATCAAATACAGTGAGACTTTCATACTCGACTAAATGATCATCACTGCTAGAACAAATTTTTGGTTGACAACAAATATTTTTATTTTAACTTTAATATTGTCATCTATAAAATATTTTTCTATGATAAAAATGAATAACTAATTTAAGAATAAAATTAAATTTTAGGGCTTCCTATTTTCATTAGACAATATTATACTTGATCCAGTTTGTTTTTTTCACTTAATATGTCAGAACATAATCACCATCATGTTTTACAACAATTTCAAGTTGATAGAGTTTCAATGATATGTGTCTGTGACCCACAAAGATTTTTTGCATGTTCATTTGTAGATTTTTAACAATTTTTCCTTGCAATTTCTCTTCAACAAGTTTTGGGCAGTCCATACATTTTGTATCTTTTAGTTCAAAATTTCCCAAACAAAACTTTCATAACCAAATTTGACAAATTTGAAGTTTAAGAGCATCTTTCCCTTACACACATTGAGTATTTTTTATTGTTTTTATAGCGTTATATTCTGTACAAAAGTTAAAAAGCATAATATGCCTGATATGCATTTTATCATCAGACATTTTGACTTGATTTATTCAAACAAAATGTGATGTAAAAAGTTTAAAATAAGCTTCTAAACAAAGAATACAATCTCACTTTACCAATAATGTATTTAATTTCACAATGTTTGTAAAGTAAATTTCAAAACTTATAATTAAATCACATATCTATGTTAAGTAAAGACAGCTGTTAAAAAACTTCAAAAATTTTCCATTTATTGTGGAAGAGGATGCCAAATTTTCCATTATATGTCCCAATTTTCCTTTGTTTCTATATTAGATGGGTTCCACTGTATATAGGTTAATTAATTTTACATTGATTTTTGCAGAAAATTCAAGGGACCAAAGATATCTTCTATTAATGACAGGTTTTTTCTATATACAGGTTTCATTATAGGCAGGTTTGACTATAAATTTAAAAAAACATCTTATCTCTAACTAAAGTAATTTTGAAAAGAAAGAAATGGAATTGAATATAACTAATTTTTATAACCAGTGGCATAGATAAAAAATTCCATGTGTCTGTTGGCCTTTATTTTGTTTAATATCTCAGGATAGACTAGTGATTAATAATGAAATTTGACATGGTAACTTTATATAAGTAGCATTGATAAATTTAGTTGATCTTAACTTTTAACCACCAAAATTTAATAGGTGGGAAGATAGAGGGGATTATGAGTCATATCTTGGCAGGGATTGGACTTAATGAAGATTTTACTTGTTATTAACATTTACAATTTTTTAAAACTTGTCACTACCCTCAAAATTAAGCTTTTTGCCATTTTATAACAATTAATATAAAAAATTTTTATAACAAAATCTCAACAGATGGCACCACACACATTTTATTTATGANTTGATGTTTCAGCTTTTGTATTATAAATTTTGATTATTATATAATAATGAATGTTTTTAATTTTTTTCAGCTATCACATTTAAATCACATAGCCTCCATTATCTTGTTAATTTGTTCTTTTATTATATCTTGGGGTGAAGCATGGTTTTTAGATTTTAAAGTTGTTCCAAGTGAAATGAATGCAAGGATTCTTTTAGGTGATTAAAAACTTTTTATTAATTCTATTAGATTATTAATATAGGTATTCCTTGTATAACACGGTAGGTACATTCCAAAAAAAAGTGCTGTGTTGTGAATCCATGCTATACAAAACAAATGACTAAAACAAAACGTGGTTAGGTTCCAAAAGTTAACAAAAGTATACTATTTTTTTTAAGAGAGAATTTTTAAGTATACTATTTTCTTTTATATCTATGTAAGAGAAATATGTTTATTAAAGCAATTAGTAATTTATTTCCAATCAATAATTAACTAACAATCACAATTAAAAATACTGTATTATGATGTGTTAATATTAATTTTAGTTAAACTAGGATGTTTTTTTTTTTTACAAAGTAATGAGCTTATTTGTTGATTTTGATCAGAAATATTATCATCATTTTTTTTATTTTTATTATAAAAATTGTCTGTATGACAAAATAAAAATATGTTGTTAAATGAAAATTTGTTCTAGCAAGTTGCATTTGTTTATTCAAGTACTGAGTGATTTTTTTCCAGAATTTGTGTTCAAATACTGAATTGTTCAAGTTAGGAACAGTTTGAGTACCAAGATACTGTTGTATTTTGTTCATCATTTTTACCAATGATTACTTACCTATGGTTAAGAAAAAGTTTAATAATAATACTTACCTAAAAATGTTTAAATAAACTTTACTAAATATGAAGATTAATCTATAAAAACAAAACACAATGATAGTCTTAAAGTAATGATGACGACATTTGGTTGACGAAAGGCTAGGCCAAGGAAGAAAAAATTGTGCTATCAGTTTTCATTAAAGTAAACCTGATAAAAGGCACAAAATAAATTGAAAATTTCAATATTCTAAAATCCATGGGCAAATTTGAGATAACATGCATGCTTACTTGAAGAAAAACAATTGAATAATGGAGTTTTACTTAAATATTGGGAAATTTTGTAAGGATTTTCCAAATTCTCGAACCATGTTAGAGCAAAATTGTGTTGTAGAAGTGCTATGTTATACAATGGATACCTGTAATAATCAATAGTCAATGAATTATATTTTATATTATCATTGTCAGTAATGTAAT